GCGGTTTGAAAACCGGATTATTGTTTGCGCGCAGAAAAGAGACCTTGATTTAGTTTTGGCGTTTATTGTGATAGTTAGCGCGCTCTGTAGTCGGGCCGCGCGTTCTTCGCTCTGTCCACATCTGAGGGCCCGAGAAATGCCGGACTTTGGCCGTCGATTCGTTCATTTAAGTAAAAGAAATCGGGCGACGCTTTGCACGCGATGGCGTCCGCGTCCGCCACGCACTTCAACTTCGACTGATCGAAGCGCTGACTCGCGCCGCACGCCATTGTCGACTGCGTCATCTCCTTCTTCTCGCTCCCGACGGGCGTCGCGCAGATGTGGAAGAGTTTGCAACTGAAGGGAAGGGAAGAGAAGTTTAGACGCAAACAGAGATCACGTGACACTCACTCGTTGGCGACGTCCGCGAAGTATCCGTTTTCCGAGCACTTGAAGACGCGCTTCACTTGCGAGAGTCCGGTCGCCTCGAGAGCGCCGGCCGGTAGGTCGTAGGCGGCCCTTCGCGTTCGGGTGCGCGCGACGGAAGCGTCGCCGAAGAGGAGGAGAGAGAGAAAAAGGAAACGACAATACGTTATGAAATCCATTTTCCGAATGAAAGCCTTTTCTCTGTATTGTCGTCGCGCTCGCCATCCACTCCTTGACCGCAATTAAATAATTGAGAAATCAATGAAAGCATTGAAAAGATCTCGAAAGCGATCGAAGGCTTCGAGAGAAACGCCCGGAGCGACAGAAAGTAGGTCTCCCGCGCACAGATGCCGACTCGCGGCCATCAATGTCCGCGTTTACCGCTCAGTGGCGCCCAAAGTGTGGCCAAAGTCTTCGAAACTTTGGCGAAACTTCGAGACAAGTGTTCGTCGATTACGTCATCGTCAAAGCGTTTCTATGGCGACGCGTCAATCGATTACTTGTTTACTATTCGCCCATAAATTGCGTTTACTTTTGGGTGTGTTTTGCGAACCCTTGCCTTCACTTCTCGTGCAAACTGTTGGCCAAAGAGAGACGTAATTCGTGGCAAGTGTCGGTCTTTCAGTTGATTCCATGGAAAACAACAAGAGTTTGAGTTTGACTGACGTTCAGGTAATCCCTAATCACTTAATCCTCAACTAATCCGTCGCTTATAATCCCCGTCAGAGCTGTGGTCCCAAAGAGTTCCGATTCGCGGTCGCGCTCTTTGACAATCGCTCCGAAACTCATGGTTTGTTGTCTTCTCTTCGCTTCCTCTTTGGTCTCACTTTCACTCTCTTCTCAGATGAGTTAGACTTCAGAAAAGGTGATGTCCTCACAGTGTTGGCGCCGAATCCCAAGAACCTGATTGGATGGTGGCTTTGCGTCAATCACAGCGACGGACTCACGGGTCTCGCGCCCGCCAACAGGTCTCGAGTCCACTCACCACTCAATCCCTTCTCAATCCTCGCCTTCTCTTAGACTCAAAAGCATTCCTTTCGTTGACCGCAAAGAAGACGTCTTTCGACGCAAGTCTTGGAATGCTTTCCATTTCCGGCCCGCGAGTGACGTCACGGCGCACCCGAAGCCCGACTCCGAGTACGACATTCCGCGCGATTCCCGCAAAACGGCGCACGACTTGTACGACATTCCCGTTTCGCGAAACCTCTTCCTGTCGTCCGACTCCTCGTCCGAAGACTCGCCGCCGACGGAACTGCCGGCAGACGAAGCCGTGAGACGCCGACTGTCGGAAGAGCGCTTCGGAAGCACGACTTCTTCGCCGGACTTGTATTGCGTTCCAAAAGCAGTTTATTTCGCGCCAAACAACGCATCGCTTCTCGACTACGACTCTCCGAAAAGCGCTGTCTTTCGGGCGCCTCTCGTGACGCGGAAGCCGCCGATCGCGCCGAAGCCACGCCCCCTTCCGGCGCTTCCAATGGAAACGAACGGCGATTACGACGAACTGAAACACGATTACGGTTTGCATTGAATTCGAAATCCATTTCTAAAGCATTTCTCTATCTCTTCAGTCTGTTTGGAGTCAAACAATGAGATCGCGCGCGAAGTCGACCGAAGATTCGCGAAACCAAAGCAACAAAAGATGGATAACGAGACCAAAGAGTACTTCCGGTTCGCAATCTCCGCACTTCCGGTGCGCTCTCTAACACTCTCTCTCTCGCAGACAACAGGCGCGCGAGTGTCACCGCCTGTTGGGGGCGGCAGTCGCCGAGTTCTGTGACGTTATCGCCGCCAACCAATGGCTGGTCCCGAAAGTGGCGCTTTTGAATCACTCCAAGTTTGTCGTCATTTGCGGCCAAAAGATGGCGTTTCTCTCGAACTCCATCGCCAGAGGGCGCTCCGACTCGGCCGCTCTCGAGACGCACACCGCGAGTCTGGGCGCCGCCCTCCGCGCACTCGTGGACTGCGTGCGGGTGTGCTCTTTGAGCGGGCGGTCGCTGCCGACGCGCGAGGCGGTGGCGGGCGTTCGGGAGGCGTTGACTGGAGTGGGCGTGGCCGGCGAGGCGTTGCAAGCGGCGATTGGTTGACTAATAGTTGTCGTTATTATTGGTTTAAATACAGAATTATATTACAAATGATTAGTAATTAAAGCGAAAAAAGAGTGTTTTGTCT